ATGGGGGATACATAAGGGATAAACATAGGGGCTGCAGAAGGCTTATTGGCCCATACGAGGCATCTCCTATCTAAACACAAAGATTAATCCAGTGTAATTGGCCTGTTATGTTGGACATTGTCTTCTGTGTTGGCATCGATATGTTCTTGTCTTGTCCTTACTCTCATGGTGGGTAGAGTAAATAGTTCCGTGATTTGGGTGTTCATGGTAGGTCGCTCTATTCTTATGTGAATTGCCTCAAGAATTTGTAATCTTCTTGAATCTTGGGTTTTGTCTATTATGCAAGTATTCTTGTTCAACATTTCTCTTGTTAGAGTAATGTCATGGGCTTGTCTCATGTGATTCCTAGGGGCACCAGATTGAAGATGGCATGTCAAACGCCTCGTCAGCTTGGTCAACGTCATACCTATGTACTTACATTGAAGGTTACATCCTTCGTGGGGGCAAGTGTACATGTATACAACGCTTGACTGCTGTAGAGGGTTCTCCGTCGGCTTCGGGCTGTTTTTGATAAGGAGTTCAGAAGTCTTCTTGGTTTTGTAGAATATTATCAGGTTTATGTTTTGGTTAGGAGTAGTGCTTTTTACTCCTTTACGGATTATTTCTTTCATTATTCTTTCCTCTTTTATATGTTCACTGTGCATGGTTGATTTGTAATATAATTTTATTGGGGGTGTTGTGGTTTCTGTTCTAGGTTCTGAATTATACCAACGGTCCAAGTGTCTTCTTATAGCAGCGTTTATTTCCGCGTTGCTATATCCGTTGTTCACCAATACCTGAGTTACTCTTTCAAACTCTCTACTCACGTTGCTCCATTCAGAAGTTGCTATAAGAAGACACTTGGACCGTTGGTATAATTCAGAACCTAGAACAGAAACCACAACACCCCCAATAAAATTATATTACAAATCAACCATGCACAGTGAACATATAAAAGAGGAAAGAATATGAAAGAAATAATCCGTAAAGGAGTAAAAAGCACTACTCCTAACCAAAACATAAACCTGATAATATTCTACAAAACCAAGAAGACTTCTGAACTCCTTATCAAAAACAGCCCGAAGCCGACGGAGAACCCTCTACAGCAGTCAAGCGTTGTATACATGTACACTTGCCCCCACGAAGGATGTAACCTTCAATGTAAGTACATAGGTATGACGTCGACCAAGCTGACGAGGCGTTTGACATGCCATCTTCAATCTGGTGCCCCTTGGAATCACATGAGACAAGCCCATGACATTACTCTAACAAGAGAAATGTTGAACAAGAATACTTGCATAATAGTCAAAACCCAAGATTCAAGAAGATTACAAATTCTTGAGGCAATTCACATAAGAATAGAGCGACCTACCATGAACACCCAAATCACGGAACTATTTACTCTACCCACCATGAGAGTAAGGACAAGACAAGAACATATCGATGCCAACACAGAAGACAATGTCCAACATAACAGGCCAATTACACTGGATTAATCTTTGTGTTTAGATAGGAGATGCCTCGTATGGGCCAATATGAATTAGCAGTCTCCGTGGTGTAGTGGTAAGACACTCGCCTGGCGTTCCGCGAGCGCTATGTCATGGGTTCGTATCCTGGCCGGGGAGGATTTAATGGGCGCAATTCCTTAACTGTAGCCTCTGTTTAACGCAACAGTAAAATGTGTACTTGGATGAAAAAACGATTCTTCGCGGCAGGGGATCGTATTCCAGGGACCTGCCCGAAACGCTACGCGTACTAGTGGCTGTACAAGAATGTAACAACTCTTGTATATATCTCAAAAAAAAAAAAAAAAAAAAAAAAAAAAGCCTTCTGCAGCCCCTATGTTTATCCCTTATGTATCCCCCCATGTTTTCACCTTCATTGTATTATCACCTGACCTAATGCGGGTATAAAATCAACTAGTATTGTAAGATCTGTTCACTTGAGAATGAACCATGGAGGTTCGAAACGTCGTGCAAATTATACAAATAAGTGTAATACACTCTATAGTAAATCACTTCTTTTCTTCACCTTAAAAGTACGAAAATGAGTTTTGGAGAACTCCTATTTCAATTAAGCCCTGATGCTAAGAAAATAGTTAGAGGGATAGAAGCCCTAAACCAGAAAATAATAAATACAGAATATGCGGTCATATTCAATGAAATATATATATATATATATATATATATATATATATATATATATATATATATATATATATATATATATATATATATATATTAATATGAATTAAAGGAACTGCCTCATATGGCTTGATAAGCCTTCTGCAGTTTCCTAAATTCTTAATTTAATGTTTGTTTTGGCCTATATGCTGGGGTTTTTCAATTGTTTTGATTTGATAGTACAGTACTGAGTATACTGTTATCTGCATACAACATTCCCTATTCTGTTCATTGCCCTTGTGCTATCTGACAGATTATAGAACATTTTATATTTAATTACAACACATTAAAGTTTGCATGTTTGGAAAATGATGTGTTTGAAGTCAGAAAATGTTATATATTTTAAGGCAGGTGGTACGTAATAAGTAACAGTAAGCAAGCAAGTAATAATTAAAAGAAAGCTTTAAGCCAGTATAGTTATACAGAGAACTACTGATAGCCTAAGCCCTATATTCCAAAATCAAGAGGACCCAGCATTAATGCAGTTTGTATGAGGCTTAGAATTAAAAGCATGGAATTCCGAGTTATACTCAAATCTAACCTTAATGAGTCTGATACAGTAATAAGAACTGCAGCCCAAAGTAAGATAAAGCATCAAATCTTACTGTTTTCCGAAAGGTATGGATATCCATCCAGTGTGACAGTATCATGGTCTCAAGTTTTACCTGTACAGTACACGAGGAGGAGGTACTTGTTATACTTTCTTCAGGTTAGATTAAATAGATTAGACTGTACAGTTTGGCGTTTCCATAGTTACGGACCACACTGAAGATTTCCCATTTAATGTCTATTCCAGTTGAATGTACTCATCTTCACAGTGTTTTGACCCAAACCTAAATATTCCATTAATAAGAAATCGCAAAATACCAGCATGCAGTGGCCCTGACTGATACAGCCAATCTGACACTAACACACAAGCCAATTGAGCTCTCTCTCTTAATGGATCTAGTCTTTGGATTTAGTTAGTCTTGTCTGTGTACAGCAAGACCACATGTTAAATTACTTATCAAGTGGTGCAAGGTGCAGCCACATATCAACATGGCATTTCACTATTGTATGCAACATAGCATGCAGTCTTAAGTTGTATAGAAGATCACTATAATACTGTGCGGGACATCACTACAGGTCAAGGTGGGCTGCACTTGACTAAAGTAGTACAAGGGACGACTTGTCACCAGCTGGGAGGGCGAGGGTTGGCCTAAACCACACTATGTGGCTCAAACCACATTGTGCCAGCTGCTCCACACTCGTTTTCTTGTCGCAACACCAGCAGAGGTGCTGGCTTCACGCAAGACACTCGGGGGGTGGCTTGACACCAAGCACGTTGCCTTCACAAGATACATTACTACAAAAATAAAGGTGAGGGTGGTGCGATCACAAACTGGGTTCTACGGTAACTTGGTGAGCAGGCGTGACATTCCTCTAGTGACTAGTTCTATGCATAAGCATTGTTCACATGATTAAACATCAAAAACATCTTGTGCTACACACATACAACGACAACTACAGTTCTACACAAGCGTCCACTGCGTGAGAGTCTACGTCATGAACCTAGACACATCCTCATGGCATCTCGTACTCTCTCTGACTGTTTGTTATTGACTGCCACACCGTGCCGCCGCACCGTTCCAATACTCACTAACACAATTATCATTTTAAAAATTTTGACTCATGGTCTTTACACATTTCTAATGCAAATGCACTATTTATATTAGCTTATTAAATATTATCAGCACATTTATATTTCAAATAGGTGAAATATTAAACGGCATCAATATTTTATAAAGACTGCGCACATAGTAGTGTAGTAGTGCGCAAGGCAGCCAATCGATACGGTGTGGAGGAGCGATGTTGTGGTGTTCTTGTAGCCAGGCTGCTCCCGGGGCTTCATACACCTTCGTCCATTCTCATTACACTTCACGCTCATACCCTCATCAGTTCTGACTTATTATCTATAGTTTATCACTAATCAAATTTAGTAAATAAGTGACAAACCCTTTGATAGGTTACTTCCCTTGAATTTTTCGAGGTATGCCACCGTGACTTTAAACTGTATTTGCTGTTAGTATGGCACTGTACATTAATTACTTTAGAAGGTTGACTAAGGGAAGTCAGTGAGCGGGGGTGGATGAAAGGTTTACTTGGCACAGACTGCGTGGATAGTGCCACCTGCACATTGTTTGCCATCCCCGGCCTCTTGTCTTAATCATTTGTTTAATGACATGGTATATGTTGCACCTTTTAAAATCATAATTCACTCAAATGTAATATTTGGATATTTACCAAAGTTTTTACAACCAAAATGTTTGGGATAAATGTATTCTTTGTACGTTAACTAAATATTTGACACCTGAAGAGCTAACCTATCCCAACCCTTGCACTGACCTCCTCCATGCCTTTTTTATAAAGGCTCCTGAGGGTCAGCACCTTCAAAATGGATTACAAAAAACTGCGTGAACTCAGAATATGTCAGGTTCATAATGTCTACCAAGAGAGACAACAACGGCATTTCCCGGCACCACAGATCACCCCTTTCTATATTACTATCTCTCCCGTACCACTCACACAGTGGCAAGTCTGCATGGAGCTACGATTCAGAGGGGGGTCCTATACGAATAAATTTACTTGTCGCCATCTTTTATTATAAATCGTTATATTTCTTTTATTCTCTTGTATTACTCAGACATCAATGTCTGTACATGACAATATGGTCCACACTGTCAGGCATTAGTGTCTCTATATGACAATATGATGAATACTATCAGGCACAAATGTCTGTACATGGCAATATGATTCACAGTGTCAGGCATCAGGCAGTGTCTTACATGACAATATGTTCCAAGTGAAAGACTGGAAAGGAAATTACAAGCACATGGAATAAATGGTAAAGCTCTAGAATAGATTAAACAATGGTTGAAAAAAAATGCAAAAAGTCTTCCTAAAAGGAAACGAATCTGACTGGAGACATATGGTAAGTTAGGCACTGCAAGATTCCATCTTGGGGCCAACACTTTTTATCATCTACACCAGTGAGATCATATAGATGAGAATATTGCAAACAATATAATCAAATTTGCATATGACACTAAGCTCTGTGTAAAGTATGAAGTAAAAATATTATTGAGGCTTTACAAAGAGACTCCACAAATGGTCGGAAGACAGACAGATGCTTTTTAACATTGGCAATGTAGGAGCATAGCAATACACATCATAACTATCACATTAACAACAATACCACGCAGCAGATTGAAGAAGAAGAGGACCTTGGAGCCAGAAAGTTGCATAGCCAGTGGGAACTGCAATAAAAACAACCGAACCCTAGGAAACTGAATAGTCAAACGAACCTTTTTACTATAAGGAAACGAAGGTAGGTATTCAACTGTACAAATCTCTTGTGCAAGCCTTCTTGCACAAGAAGGCTTGCTTGGATTAGACACTTGGCTTATTGTATGCAAGCATGGAGACCTCATCTTTAGAAGAGCATATCTGCTTTGGAGAAGGTGCAAAGCAGAGCGACTAAAATCATTCCAGAAGTCGACTCTCATACCAGGAAAGGTTGAGGGCCACAGACTGACAACAGTCAAACCAGACATGACACGGTGGACCTCATAGAAAATACTGAATAAATTGTAGGATATTAATCCAGACAGCTTCTTTGAAAGGTCACGTGTAACACATACAAGGAGCATCAGCCTCAAGCTCGAAAAGCCACAATCTAATTAGAAAACAGAAGTCTTTTCACCCACAAAGTTATAAACCCATGGAACCGCCTACCTGCCGAGGCTGTAAATGTCAAGATTGTACGGCAGTTTAAAATAAGAGTTGGAAAAAGTTCTCAGGAAAAATGGCGGGACCTTTAATAAACCGCCGGTTTCTTGTCTCCGTCCAGGCCACTAGACAGATGGTGCGTCTCAGGTACATTTAGGTAAATATGGTCCATACTATCAGGCATAAGTGTCAGTACATGATAATGTGATATATATTGTTGGGCATAAATGTCAGTACATGAAATGTGACTTACGCTGTCAGGCATACGTGTCAGAACATGACAGCATGACCCACACTGGAAGGCATGTGTCAATGGATCTTATTAGCATGTGGCGAGGCACTACCTTGCCTCATCAAGTGTGGGAGCAACAGGCGTGGAAACACCAGGTGTGGGAGCAACAGGTGTAGAAACACCAGGTGTGGGAGCAACAGGTGTAGAAACACCAGGTGTGGGAGCAACAGGCGTGGAAACACCAGGTGTGGGAGCAACAGGTGTAGAAACACCAGGTGTGGGAGCAACAGGTGTAGAAACACCAGGTGTGGGAGCAACAGGCGTGGAAACACCAGGTGTGGGAGCAACAGGTGTAGAAACACCAGGTGTGGGAGCAACAGGCGTTGAAACACCAGGTGTGGGAGCAACAGGCGTTGAAACACCAGGTGTTGGAGCAACAGGTGTAGAAACACCAGGTGTGGGAGCAACAGGCGTTGAAACACCAGGTGTGGGAGCAACAGGCGTTGAAACACCAGGTGTGGGAGCAACAGGTGTAGAAACACCAGGTGTGGGAGCAACAGGTGTAGAAACACCAGGTGTGGGAGCAACAGGCGTTGAAACACCAGGTGTGGGAGCAACAGGCGTTGAAACACCAGGTGTGGGAGCAACAGGTGTAGAAACACCAGGTGTGGGAGCAACAGGCGTTGAAACACCAGGTGTGGGAGCAACAGGCGTTGAAACACCAGGTGTGGGAGCAACAGGTGTAGAAACACCAGGTGTGGGAGCAACAGGCGTGGAAACACCAGGTGTGGGAGCAACAGGCGTGGAAACACCAGGTGTGGGAGCAACAGGCGTGGAAACACCAGGTGTGGGAGTAACAGGTGTAGAAACACCAGGTGTGGGAGCAACAGGCGTTGAAACACCAGGTGTGGGAGCAACAGGCGTTGAAACACCAGGTGTGGGAGCAACAGGTGTAGAAACACCAGGTGTGGGAGCAACAGGCGTGGAAACACCAGGTGTGGGAGCAACAGGCGTGGAAACACCAGGTGTGGGAGCAACAGGCGTGGAAACACCAGGTGTGGGAGCAACAGGCGTGGAAACACCAGGGGTGGGAGCAACAGGTCTAGAAACACCAGGTGTGGGAGCACCAGAACTGATCCTACCAAGTGCGGACACACCAAGTGTGGGAGCATCAGGACTGACCCCACCAGATGTGGACACATCAGGTGTGGGAGCGCCAGGACTGGACCCACCAGGTGTGCGAGCAGCAGGTGTGGGAACACCAGGTGTCAGTCGAGAGCTACAACACATGTGAGAACACAAACACTTAGCGCTGCCACCATTAACATCATCGTTCATCATACAAGCCAGCCACAGATACAACAGACTTACATGGCAACATTTTTTTCTAGATGGCTTCGTTCTGGACTCGTAATGAGGGTTCCCGGATTCGATCCCAGACCGGGAGAGAAATAGTTGGGCACGTTTTCTTTCACCTAAAGCCTCTGTTCACCTAGCAGTAAATAGGTATACTTGGGAGTTAGTAACTTAGTTATAACCGTACGCGAGGAGCATTATAAAGGACTGTATGCAGGGGGGCATGGCAGAGAAACAGCTGTAGTGGTAATAAGCATAATTAAGTCTTAAACAAGCAAGTGTGGTCTATATATACATATATTAATGTCCGTAATAAATACACCTGCACCCGCCTGGCATATTTAGTTAGGTCTCTGACGCAGGTGTACTTAAATTAACGACCAAGGTGCCCTTACCAATGACTCGTTAGGTCAAGATGTGAGTTAACTTAAATACTTGATATAATGCGTATTGTATACTGACTATGCTCTCACATGATGAGTATACCATGTTCCGTGGTGAGGTGTGGTCAGTACATGGCAGTAACCTGCCAGAAACGCTGCGCGTACTAGTGGCTTTACAAGATTGTAAATACCATGCTATGTATTCTCACAAACCCAATGTACCTTCTTGTATATAAATAAATAAATAAATAAATAAATAAATAAATAAATAAATAAATAAGTAAATAAATAAATAATTGAGGTTCACACTGGCACACAGTATGAGCGTCACAAACAGTTTTACCAGTGACCTGACTGACCTAGGCGGGACCAAAGAGCCAGAGCTCAACCCCCGCAAACACAACTAGGTGAGTACTCAGAGATAACACCTCAGTCACATGTTACCTTGTCTCTATATCTTAACGCTCTGACTGCTACTGCCTAATGGCTCCAAATAGCCTCCACTTACGGGCTCACCATAGCCCGTGCTACTAAAACTTATTGTTCTGAGTAGCGAATCTTAAACAACAACAACATGCTACTGCCACAGTCACAGATCACACCGTTCTCTTTATTCGCCACAACGTACAAAGTACAGAGTGCTAACCTAACCAGAAACGTACAACTCAACGTAAATTCAACGTTGATTCAATGTCGAGCCAACCTTAGCCATGGGTACTGTGCTCAATGGGTAAAGTTCCATACAGGCGCCCCGAGGCAGTCACCACTGTAAGCTCGGTAGAAAAAAATTACATGTTTTTTTTATTCATATATATAAGAGTTCTTACATTCTTGTACAGCCACTAGCACGTATAGCTCTTCGGGTAAGTCCTTAATCCAAAATTTCCCTGGAATACGACCCGCCAAAACGTACTCATTCACTGTTGGGTGAACAGAGGCTACAGTTAACGATTGGCTCTTAATTTGAAATTTAACTCTTGAACGCTTATTCTCTAATTGTTACAGATTAATATATGAACTTAAGAGTTAATATGATATTGATAACAAAACATAATAGTTAAGCGTAATTGTGAATCCTTGAGTTAGTTTTGGGAATTTGTAGATATGGTCCAAAACTGGTCATATGATAATGTGCTCCCGTGGTACTGTGATATTATTCCTCTTGTCGGGGACAGGAAGGCTGTATACTTAGGCTTGGTTAGGTCCCCCTAGGGCTAGGCCACATACTAACCTTCCCTAGGATGCAACCCACAACACTTGCGTAACTTCCGGGTACCTATTTTTATTACTAGGTGAAAAGAGGCATCAGGTATAAGGAAACGTACCCAACCGTTACTGTCCTCCATAGAGACTGAACCGGCGTCCTTCGGTTGTTAGCTGAGGGCGTAGACTACTGTGATACAGGTTGAAAGTGAAGGGAGATCACACGACGCTTCTGGAAGAATGACAGATTGCTGGTGTGGACTAGTTCGGCCGTTGTCCAGAGGTAGACCCCCGACCTACTACGATACAGGTTGTGGTTCGACTCGGGTCCACGCGGGTATAATACTGATTTCCACATTAGTGTTGCTCTCAATTAACGTGATCTGGTAGCCCATCCTCCAGTGATGATAGTACTTAGAACAACTATCTAGTCAAACATTCAAAACTGGACTGTTGTGCCCCAGAATAGTCACATTTTGTATTATTAAATTATCCCAAATAGCAGACTAAGGAAATGGTGGAAGTAGCTGAAGAACCTACCTAATGCACGCTATCCTGGGCCTGATATAGTACATATATGTGCTATACTAAGCCTTGGCACGTTTAAGATTTTCTCGTGCTATGTAAAATGAATAGAATAAATCGTGAACACTGTTAGGTGGAACAGTCCATCATTTTAGTTCCACCAGATAGGTACTATCATTTTCCGAGCATGGATTCCAATACACACTTAACAACGTAGATGTTTAAAATATTTGTTTATGAGGAAAACAGTACAGGCGCCATTAGGATTCGAACCTAGGCTCTGGGAACGTGAGACTACCTAGAGCAAAGGTTTGAATCCATATTATGGCGCCGACTGATTTTCTCTCTGTTACATGACGTTAATGTGATTTATGTATGATTTTTGTAATGCTATTGGCCTATTTTTTCATTTTAACATTCTAGCATTTTTTTTATTTTGGTTAAGTTAGGCATCGAACTTGAGGACTATTTGTCTATTTTTGAACATCATGATTTACATTATTTATTATAATTAGAATAGTTTGTGCACTTCTATCAGTTCACTCATTAAAGAGTGAACAATTTCTATAAGTTAATTCATGAGAGTGAACAATTTCTGAAAGTTCATTCATGATAGAGTGAATAATTTTTATCAGTTCACTCATGATAGTGAACAATTTCTATAAGTTCATTCATGATTGTGAACAATTTCTAAAAGTTCATGCATAACAGAGTGAATAATTTCTACCAGTTCAGACATGATAGTGAAAAATGTCTAAAATGTTCATACATTATAAAGTAAACAATTTCTATCAGTTCATTCACGATAGAGTGAACAATTTATATAAGTTCATTCATGATAGTAAACAATTTCTACCAGTTCAGCCATAAGATAGTGAACAATTTCTACCAGTTTATTCATGATAGAGTGAACAATTTCTACCAGTTTAGCCATGATAGAGTGGGGGTGTCCCAGCAGCGTGACAGGCTGGTGGTGACAGGCTGGGGGGTGACAGGCTGGAGGTGACAGGCTGAAGGTGACGGGCTGGGGGGTGACAGGCTGGGGGTGACAGGCTGGTGGTGACAGGCTGGGGGGTGACAGGCTGGAGGTGACAGGCTGAAGGTGACAGGCTGGGGGGGTGACAGGCTGGAGGTGACAGGCTGGAGGGTGACAGGCTGGGGGGTAACAGGCTGAAGGTGACAGGCTGGGGGGTGACAGGCTGAAGGTGACAGGCTGGAGGTGACAGGCTGGGGGGGTGACAGGCTGGAGGTGACAGGCTGGAGGGTGACAGGCTGGGAGGTGACAGGCTGAAGGTGACAGGCTGGAGGTGACAGGCTGGGGGGGTGACAGGCTGGAGGTGACAGGCTGGAGGGTGACAGGCTGGGAGGTGACAGGCTGGAGAGTGACAGGTTGGGGGTGACAGGCTGAAGGTGACAGGCTGGAGGTGACAGGCTGGGGGGTGACAGGCTGGAGGTGACAGGCTGGAGGGTGACAGGTTGGGGGTGACAGGCTGAAGGTGACAGGCTGGAGGTGACAGGCTGGGGGGTGACAGGCTGGAGAGTGACAGGCTGGGGGGTGACAGGCTGGAGAGTGACAGGCTGGGGGGTGACAGGCTGGAGAGTGACAGGCTGGGGGGTGACAGGCTGGAGAGTGACAGGCTGGGGGTGACAGGCTGCGGACGGAAGTATTCAGAGGTGGGTGTGGGTGGTGGTGGCGGGCCGCGCACACTGCTCAACTTTAAAGAAGACCTGGGAAATAATTCTTGCCTCAACTTAAAGTGATCACCGGCCGCTGTGAATACTGCACCACCACGCCATCACCATAGCACCTCCACGCCGTCACCATAGCACCACCACGCCGTCACCATAGCACGACCACGCCGTCACCATAGCACCACCACGCTGTCACCATAGCACCACAACGCCGTCACCATAGCACCACCACGCCGTCACCATAGCACCACCACGCCGTCACCATAGCACCACCACGCCGTCACCATAGCACCACCACGCCGTCACCATAGCACCACCACGCCGTCACCATAGCACCACCACGCCGTCACCATAGCACCACCACGCCGTCACCATAGCACCACCACGCCATCACCATAGCACCACCACGCCGTCACCATCGCACCACCACGCCGTCACCATAGCACCACCACGCTGTCACCATAGCACCACCACGCCGTCACCATAGCACCACCACGCTATCACCATAGCACCACCACGCCGTCACCATAGCACCACCACGCCATCACCATAACACCACCCACTCCATCACATCCCTAGCTCTCAACGCCATTTTACTCTTAACAAATGATGAGTAATTCCAGTATATATAAATTCGACAAATACCATTTCATTATATCTGCCAAGTCCCACTTATTCAATACATCATTACAGACAGGACTGATCACGACTTCAGTTGCCCCATCAGTTCATAACTCATTTCATTATACTCATGGGATAGCAGACTCCCATCAATATTTAATATTGCAGTTAAATGGAGTGAGGTTCTTTGATATGATTTCTGTTTAGAACTCTACAATGGTCCGGAATATGTTGGTTCTCAAGTGACCTGGGAATTACCTTCAATTAATATGAAAACTGTCATTTGTCCAGCCCCGGAGAGAGGCTGATGCTGAAGCAACCATCACCTTTAGAGGCCACCGAAGCCAGCAGCACTGTTAGCCATAATAATAATAATGTCTGATAATATAAAGCCTGGATAATATTTCAATCGCATGGGGACGGGGGCCATTGAGGAAAGAGTTTCTGGTCTCTTATGCTGGCATATCTTACGATGTAAATGATACGAACTACTCCTTAAAATGTTTTAAGTGCATTCTCTCGTTCCCTTTCTCTCTCTCTCTCTCTCTCTCCCTCCAC